CCAGTGGGGCAGGGAGCTGGGCCCCTTAACCTTCATCATCCTCATCATCGTGCAGAGACCTCAGGGCACTCAGGGTGTGCAGAGCACAGGCCCACCTTCTCCCCCCTAAGTCCTCACGGTGCTCTGTGGACCGGGCATCCTCTCCCCTTTTGCTGGTGGGCACAGAGACCCAGAGGGAGGAAGAGACTCCATCGTAAAGCTGCCAGGGTCTCCCTGTTGCTCGCAGGGCAACATCCAGGTGCCTCAGTGGGTAGGCCACCACCCTCACATGTAACTCTGGCCACTGCAGAACCGGCCTCCCCTGCCCCCTTCCCCACACCTTCCAGGTCAAAGTCAGTGAGGCCTCCTCGACCAGTGCCCGGGGACACACTGCTCAGATCCCTGTGACAGTGGGCCCATCTCCCCTCCCCCAACCTCTCAGCACAGACTCCGAAGTGTGGAAATGAGGTCCAGGAGCCAGCCTCCTCACTCCTTGGCATCTCCTTCCTTCCTGCCCTAGTCCAGGGGGCACCTTATCAGTCCTGCATGGGGCAGCTGGGGTGATTTGAGAAATCAGACCCCATCAGATACTGTAACAACAGCACAGCCTGACTTCCGCACTGCACACGGCGCTCTCAGCACCAGAATGAGTCACTCCATGTCATCCCAGGGCAACTGAGGAACAGAGAACTTGAGTGATGTGCTCAGGGTCACCTAGTTGACCTCAGGGGCTCCCATTGGCTTCCTGATAAGGTACCAACTTCTGCACATGCACAGCAAAGGGGCCCAGGCCTGCCACTGCCCTCCACTCCAGCCGCATCACCTTGGCCTTGATGGCTGTGCCTGGCTGTGCTAAAATACTCACAGGTCAAGCCAAAACCCGTTTGGCTCAGTGGATAGAGCATTGGCCTGTGGACTGAAGGGTCCCAGGTTCGATTCCGGTCAATGGTATGTACCTGGGTTGCGGGCACATCCCCAGTAGGAGGTGTGCAGGAAGCAGCTGATCGATGTTTCTCTCTCATATCTATCCCTCTCCCTTCCTCTCTGTAAAAAATCAATAAAATATATTAAATAAATAAATAAATAAATAAATAAATAAAATACTCACAGGCCTCCAACACATGGCTACAACCATCAACACATGTGTTGGGTCTTGATGTCCAGGAATTTTACATTCACTATCTCATTAAAACCTATTGCAATCTTACCGGAAGCATTTTTATTGTCCCCATTCAGAAGATGAGGGAAATGAGGCTGAGGCCCCCTGACCACCAGCCTTTGATCTGACTGAACCTAGAAGACCTTTGTATGGCAGAGGAAGGGTGAGGGGCTGCTCTACTGAATTTGGGGAGCCAGGCAAGCCTGGGAAGCAGCTCATGTTCTCAAGATCCTCCTGGAGGAGGACACTGCTTGCTCCCAGACCTGTCCCTAGAGGCCCACCCATCTTGACTACTCATCCCAGGCCACAACTTGCTCAGTGAGTCCGTGCCTGGTCCCCACTCTCGACAGACACCGCTGAGTTCTCACTCCCCTTGGTCCTGACCCTCTGGTCTGTTGGTTTTTTTTTTTTTTCTTTCTCTCCACTTAGGCCTCTTCCACTACTCTCTTTCATTCTTCTCTTTACTTCTCCCCAGAAAGTCTGACTGTCTCCCATCTGCCTTTGTCTATCTCCGTGTTGATCCCTCTCCCCTTCTCCAGATCCCCACTCCAGCTTGCTGTGTATTCTCTTTCTCTTCCATCTATGGCCCCCTGCACTCCTTTCCCCAAGCCCTCTGTTCCCTTCCTGCTCAGCCCCGCCCACCCTTCCAGAGGCTCAGGGAAGTGGAGGTGGTGAGAAGGAGCAGAGAACCTTCTGGGAAGCCTGGGAGGCCCCAGCCTTACCAAGGGGCTTATGTCTTCAGGTTGGAAACTTTATCATTTCTCTTTCGTGACTGATGGGGAGGAAGAAATGGAAAATACAAAAAAAGAAAACACAGGAAGTGTTTTGCAAGCCCAGAACTGACATAAAACAGGGTATTATGAATATTTTCTGAAAATAATTTCTTTTTATGATGCTGTAACAGTGGCCAGCCCTGTCTGGCTGGCTTGCTGGCTGCCGACAGCAGCAGCTGGAGGCCCCCCACCCTCACCCCACCCAGCCTGCCCCAGCCCGGATCCTGCCCCTCACCAGGCCTGGGTGTTTCCTTGGCTGGAGCGGCCCTGGAAGGTAATGACGAGGTGGGAGGGCTTCCTGCAGACTCCGAGCTCTGGAGTTCCTGGGTCCTTTAGTTCAAGGAAGCCGAAGGCAGGCGGGTATTAGCATGTCTCTGTCCACCTGCAGCTCAGACGGCCAGGGCATGTTGCTCCAACAAACTTGACTGAGATCATTTCGGACACCCAGCTCCGGGGCAGGGGTCCAAGCCCTCCCAGAGCTCCTGATGCCTTGGAACTTACACTCTTGCGATATTGTCCTGTCATTGAACTCCATGTGAACTTGGCTATGAGAATTCCCACAGCCCTGGTTTAGTGGCTCATTTGGTTGGTGCATTGTCTCATATTCCAAAGGTTGCAGGTTCGATTCCAGTCAGGGCACATACCTAGGTTGCGGGCTTGATCTCTGGTCAGAGCAAGTTTGGGGGACAACGGATTAATGTTTACTGCTCACGTTGACATTTCTTTCTCTTTCTCTATCCCTTACTCTCTCTTAAAACAAAATCAATAAAACATATCCTCAGTGAGGATTAAAAAGAAAAATCAGCCTCTCCCATGGTCGCCCCTTGTTCCGAATTACCCCAAGCAGTGGAGGTTATTGGCGACTGGGAGAGCTGATGGAGTGAGGCCTCTCACAACACTCGGAAAATGATTATTGACTGCAAATCCCCGTCCCCACTCCCCTGCCCGGGGAAGCAGGCATTGTCCACACCTCCTTCAGTGTCTCTCCATCCTCCTAGCTCCTCACTTCTTTCTTTTGCTTGCAAAAGAAATGATAAAACTTCTCGCCCTGATCATAAAGGTATCTGCCCCTCAGCTCCTCTGAGGAGGGAGAAGCTGTTTTTTCCTACCTCAAGTCCCACGGAGCAGTCTTCCACACAAAGACGGTGCTTTCCAAAGGAATTTAATGCATACAATTTGACCCACCTCCTTTCATGTAGATATGGGACTGAGGTCCAGAGAGATCAGAGGGCACAGAGGTGGGAGAGATCAGCCTGCCTCTGCCCTGGGAGGTATGCCTCCTCCATTGAGAGTTCCCCTGTTATCCAATTCCCATGTTGGGGCACTCACTACTTTCTTGGCAGTGGGTCTGGATTCTGGGAAGCCCTTTCCCACCTCCCTTTAGCTTCCCCTATGGGCCCAGCTCAGAGCTTGGTAGCTATATAGAGAAGCCTTCTGTCAAGGGCAGCCCCACCGAAATTTGGGGCCAAGATGGAGTCCCCCTGAATTTAATGATCTAATAATATCAGATGGGGCATCTGGTTTCTCCCCAGAAGGGTACTTCAGTGGAGCCAGCTCAGAGCAAAGCTAGGAGGGGGCACCGGGGCTCCAAGGTTGGGAAATGCGGACACTTGAGTGTTCCAGGTACCAAGGTACAGACACTGGAGTCTCCCCTTTGCCACCCACTGCCTTGTGCAGAGGAGTGTGTCAGGGGTTCTGAGGAGTCCCTGGTCTCCTCAGCCACCCATTTCATGGTATCTGATACCTCATTCCTGGGCAATAGCTTCTCCAGGGGGCACTTAAGCTGAGGACTACTTACCCCAAAGAAGGACTAGGTCTCACTCTGCCAATAAGGAGGGTGTGTGTGTGTGTGTGTGTGTGTGTGTGTGTGTGTGTGACAGAAGCCCCCTTCCTGATAGCAGGAGTCCTCACACCACTGAGACCATCATGATGGGGCTCCCCATGCTCTCTGCATTAGGAGCTGATGGATGGGACAGAGGTCTGGGCAGACTTCAGGACATGGGAGAGGCTCTGTCTTGAGACTCAGATGGGTCCTGACCTCACCCATCGGCCTGTGAAAGGGGATGGGGATGCCTCGCTGCCCTCACCGGCCACAGCCCACATAGAACAGCACAGCATCGCTGAGCTGAAGTTCAGAGAATCGGTTTGGAGCTTGGCTGCTTAGATTCCAATCTTGGCTCCAGCATTTACAAGCTGTGTGACCTGGTCAAGTTCCTGAACCTCCCTGTGTCTCAGCTACTTTATCTGTAAGCTAGAGAGAGCAAGAGCAGGTGTGGGGATGAAATGACTGAAGACTTATAAATGCTTAGAACATTGTCTGGTACATAATAAATGTTCAATAAACGTTAGCTTTCCAGTTGCTTTATTATCTTATCTGAGGGGTGGGCCCACCACCCGCAGCCCACATTGCTCTTAGTAGGAGCCAGCAAGAGCTCACTAAGCACGGCCAGTGACCTGCCTCTGGTGAAGGCTCTGCGGTTCCAGAAGCAGACACCTCTCCCCACCAACCTCTCAGTGACCTGCCCCTGTCCCCCCATGTCCCATGGAGGGCACATCGCTGGGGCTTCTTAGAGATGCCTGTGCCAGCTCATGAGTGTGTTAAAAGCAGGGACGGTATGCGATCATTTTGCGGTTTAGAGAGCTCACTCAGGCTGCAGAAGGGAGAGTGGACCAGAGGGGACACAGCTGTGGGTATCAGTGAGTGGCTCAGAGGAAGGTGAGGTGGTCTGGGCTCTAGCACTGGGATGGAGAGAGGAGAAAGGAAGAATAACGAAGAATCAATAGGTTTTGGAGAGTGAGGGAGCAAGAGAAAGGGAGGCCCCGAGGGTGGACCTCAGGTTTGAGGTCTGTGGGCGGCTCATTCTTGCTGGAGAGAGCTATCCGGATCCCCTTGGCATGAGGCCCCTCGAGCCATTGGATCGTTGCCCAAACCACCCTCCCGGAACCGGCCTGAGGTTTGCATGGAAAATGGGCCTGTCCTAGTCCCTCCACACTGCTGCCTCGGGCCTTGGCCCTCCCAACAAAGGCAATTTCCCTCCATGCTCTCTGGCAGGAGGGGGGACCCGTCAGCACACAGAGATGCATCCTGCTGAATTCATAATGTCTTTTATTAATATATTATGCTACAAAAATATTTTTGGCAAAATAACATTAATAGCATCTTTCTTTGTCTTCTATTATATTCTTAAAGAACTCTTCATGATAATTCACAGAGGTGCAGGGGAGAGGTGATTGAAAGAACAGCATCACGGATACTTTCAAATACATTAAGGTCTGAAGCATGTGCCACACAGTGCAAGTCCGGCGGGGAACTTCTGCGATCCCTCCGAGGCCCAGGACTGGGGCCCGGGGCTCTGGCGGCCTCTGTTCTGGGCCAGAATCTCCCTTGGCCAAGAGCCAGGCCCTGCCACCCCAGCTACAGGGGCCCAAGGTGTCTGAAAGCCCCACTGGAAACTTCTGAGACTCAGGCCCCACTCAAAGCACACTTGCCCCTGAGTGGGACTCTGGATGGAGGGGCCCTGTGAAGCTTCTCTGCCTCCTCCCCTGCCCGCTGCATGCTCCCAAGCCCAGAGCAGATTGCGGGTCCTGGAAGGAAAGCAGAGCATTGATCCTGGGGAGGAGTGGCACCCCGCCTTCACGGAGCCCCAAGATTGCACACAGCATTTGTCCATATCTCCAGAACACCTCAGGCCGGAAACAAGGCCTTTGTTTGACAGATGAGGAAATGGACGCTCAGAGAGGGGCAGGGACTTGCCCAAGGTCACCCAGCGAAGTGAAGGACTCTCCAGAGAATCTCAGGGAAGGAAGTGCCACCGTCAGAGAAAGGGTGGGAGAAGCCGACGGGCCAGGGCCAGCTGAGGCTCCATGGGCTCTCATGACCCCTTTCCTCCCCAAGGGTTGGGGCAGGAAGGCAATAAGCTCTGGGTTGGAGCCAGGGTCCTGGGTTCCAGTTCAGCTCTCCTCCAGGGCCCAGAAGTTCCCCTGCCCCGGGGCAGCCGGCAAGCCTGCCAATTCCTTCAGCCTGGCTGGACTCTTGGAGAACTGTGGCGCACGGCTGGACTGATTCCTGAACCTTATTGGTTTAGACAGCCAGCCGGGTGATTTCTTTTGGCTGCTGAGATGAAGTTTTGGAAAAATCACAATGTTCAAAGAACCTGAACATTACAGAGCCAGGAGGGGCTCTCGATGTCATCTGCCTTAGTCCCTTGCCAAGACTTTAACTCTGCCATTTCTCTCCAGCCAGGGTGCCCACTGCCCCTGCTCACACTCCTCTCCTGACAGAAACTCACCTGCAGAGGCACCTGCCCACTCTCACACAACTTTGGCTTTGTACAAACCACTCCACTAGCAAAGCTAACATCTGCCTCTCTCCTTCTTTCCTTCCTTCATTCTTTTCTCTCTCCTTCCCTTTCTGCACAGGTGTTCAGTGCCATCTTTGTGTCAGATGAAGATATAGATATGAGTTCACATGACTCTTGCCACCGTGGAGCTCACAGTCCAATAAGAGAGCACACATGCCATTAGACAGTCTCAGTGGGTGTTGTGCTAGATGCTAGAAAGCACAAAGGAATCACAGGGGGCTTCTTGGAGGAGGTGTCATTTGAGTTGATTCTCAAAAATTGAGCCGTTAGGGTAAGAGAAGGGACTTCCCAGGCCTAGCATGCAGCATGTGTGAAACATCTGATCTGTCCTAGAAATGACAAATACAGTTCGGTCTGGTCAAGCGAAGAGTGGGGGAGATGGGAGATGCGGCTGGCAAGCAGCAGGGCCAGATCATGGAGAGTCTAGAATGGCAGGCTGAGGATGTGGTTCTTCTCCCACCACCACTGAAACAGGATAGCCAGCTCCAATTCTGTCCTCGGCACAGAAACCATCAAAGCGGCCGTTCCCAGGCAGAACGTGACCTAGCCTTCACGGTGTTTGTCATCAGCTTTCCTTTGGTGGAGGACCTTTCCTTGGGATCTGATGTCAATGGCACCAGACTGGAGGCGGGGCAGGTAGGACAGAACCCGGAGCCTCTAGGTTTGCCCAAGTCTGGCTGAGGCCATGACATAGATGATGGAGCATTCGATGACATCAGGAAAACTCACTAATAGTCTTTCAGAGCAAGGGTGACCTTGCTGGTCAGTACAGGTGTTCGTACTGCCTGGACTCCAGATCTTTGACTCTCAGAGGTGGAGGGGCCCTCGGCGGCCCGGGCAGCTCCTGATAGCCTGACTCGTGCACCTTCGGTCCCTGCCTACCTCTGCTGTGGGTGTCAGGCAGCCTGGAAGAAGACTCGCAGAACGGCTATGCTGACCAGCCCCGGAAAACTCCTGGGTCAGTCAGTAATGTTTCCCGAGAGACAGGGGATCTGGACCACCACTGACCTTAGGCAGGGTACGGAACCTGCTGGGTCTCAGCCCATCCATCTTCTCTGCCTGCCTTAAGGCCAACGTGAAAGCCCCAAGACGTGTACACGATGCTCTCAGAACAACAGGGGCATTTTATGAGGCTGAGCACATAGCACATGCTGGGAAAGATGTCAGCAGTGGTGTGGATAGAGCATTTCCAAGTGTGTGATTGGCCGCTGATGGAATGAAGGCTCTCCGGCCCAGAATGAGAGAATTCACGCACCCCCAGCCATTCAATTTCCATAAATGTGCCTCGGGTCTTCTGGGATATAAACAGCAAGCTCAGTTCATTTCAAACCCCGGCCAGTGGGTGGTCCTCGGAGATCAGCGCGCTTCGGCTGCAGATGTCTGACCCACGCTGGCTCTGGCTGTCCGGGCGGCACACGTCCACCGAACCTGTTGGCACATCCATCTTCCTTTAAACACTTGAGTGCTTATCTGGGGAAGAGTTTGGAATCCCCCGAACTGCACCAAGGAGGGATCTGGGGAAGACCAGGGCTGAATTTGCCTGCTTAAGGGATGGATAGGATGACCTCAATGTCCTTTAGGAGCCCAGGACGGTGCTGTGCGTCTCTCTCAAGGCTGAGCTCCTCTAGATCCGGAAGGTGGCGAGATTCGGGCCCGACATGGAGACTGGCACTGCGTGTGCTCGATAATCACACACTGCATTAATTTACCTCTGGCCCCGTGCCTGGCACAGATCTGGGCACGCAGTCAGGTGCCTGGACTGTTTACCCAAATGCTTCATCTTTAATTAACCTCAAGTTCCATCTCAATACATCGCATGCCACACTCTGCCCCGAGCAGAGGGAAATCTGGCCTGTGTGTTTCTAATTCCTTTACACTTATCTCATCCAAATAGTGCTCCGCACGAAGTGTTTGATGTCCCCCAGGCCTCTGAGCCTGCTTTATAACTCAGCTAAGCCCCTTCCCGCTCAGAAATAGGAAGTCTCGTTTCTGCCAAGGATAAACCCTGGCCGGGGTCAAGTTTGGTTTACAGCCTGGTGCCCATGGGGCTGGCTGGACCCTCTGAAGCCCCTGCCAGGTCTCAGGCTCCAAAACATCCATCCAGGGCTGAGCTAAAAAGAATTCAGAGGCCTGCCAAGATGCCAGTGGGACCTCTGACCATCCAATAGAGCTGCCCTGGACCCTACTGACTCAGAAGGGACAGCTGCCCAGCTGGGACTGGGGTTAGGCAGGCACTGCCAGTGACACTGGAGAGCACTGGTCTGGGATTCAGCAGATATCCAGCTGTGCAGTTTTGGGGAAACACCCCCTCCCTGCCTGATTGTTATTCTTACAGTTAGAGGTCAGATGAGGGGTTCTTTCTGATCTCCGGTGCCAGGACCTGTAATGGATGCGCCGCTAGGCCTATGAGGGTCCAGGACTGGAAGGCAGGGTCCTCTGCCTTCTCAGCCATCGCCTCGGGGGCAGAGGAGCTAGGTCTGTCTCTCTGAGGCGGAGTGGCCTGACTATCCCTGTTTGACTGGCTGCCAGTCTCCCCACGCTTCCCACAGCTGCCCCTCATTCCCTTGCCTCTTATTTGGCAGAAAAGCCTCTCATTGGCTTTAGGATAAGACAAGTCTGGGCCTGGGACACGTGGCACACACAAAGAGCCCTTTGGCAAGAGTGACCCACATGAGCAACTGTGGCCAAACAGTCTCTTTGGCGGAGTAAGAAGCTTGTGCTGGCCCGTGGGGCGTCCCTGTGTAGAGAGAACGTGGCAGAATCTGAGCCAGGAGATAAGCATCACTTCTCAGTCACATTTCTTTGGGGCTATGTCCTGGCTGAGTGACCTTGAGCAAGTCCCTTTGCCTCTTTTGGGGGTTCAGTTTCCTCACCTGTGAAAAGGGGATGGTTGCCTCTCCTAGAACTGGCATGGGGATCAGTGATAAAGTGAGTGGACAAAATGGTGGCTCTCCTTACAATTATTCCCACGTGACTCTTAGAACCCCCGTCTCTAAAACTGCCCTCTGTGCTGACTCCTGTCCGTCCGTCCAGCTCATTCCATTTGGCGGCGACTTCAGTAGCATCTCCTGTAACCCAAGGTGGATTAATGCTATCAGAGCAGAGAGGTCTGGGTTCATGCCCCGGATCTCCCACTTGCTGTGTGACCTTGGGCAACCACTTTCCTCTCTTTGGATCTTAGTTTAACCATCAGGCCCACGGGCCCGGGAAACCACCTCCCTCAGCGACGACTCTCTTCCTCCACCCAGTGCTTAGGTCGGAACACTCACCAAGAGCTCCGGAGGCCTTGGTTTACAAAATAGCAGCATTCTCTTTCCGAAAAGTATCTTCCCAGCCCTAGGATGCATCCACGGGAGGGAAGGACCGTCAGCGTTCACATCTCTGGCTCCCAAATCCAGCTTCACAAAAGCTAAGCTTGTATGCCTGCCCCTCCCTCCGAGGTCCCCGCGGTGGAAGAAGCCAAATCCAGGCACGGGAGGCTTCCGCCGGTCCAGAGCAGGCGCTGCACCGCCAAGGTCCGCATGAGGTCGCAGAAGTCCTGACAGCCTGGCTTCACCGCCTGGGTGCACGCTGGGACTAATTAGGGGGTAATTGATATAGGCCACATAAAAATAGTTTTATCGGTGGAATAAATACATTTTTCTTTTTTAATATGGACACGTATTTTACAAAAGAGCCCCATAGCACTATGGGAAATTAAGATCCTTCTACAAAAAAGAAGATGTAACTTGGGTACAATAAAGCTCTAGGGTTCTAACGGATCCCGACTGGACTGCCCGTGAGGTGTCAGCCCCCCCCCCTGGGAGTGGGGTGGCAGGGGCAGTGGGGTGTGGCCACAGACCCTCCTGCGGTTTCTCTGGCTTCTCTGCACGGGCAGCCGAGGTCAGGAAGGCCCGAAGGTGTGCAGCAGGAAGGGGGCTGCGAAGCTGGCAGCGATGATGGCAGGGAGGAGGCCCAGGGCCGGCTGGGAGTGGGCAGGCACTGAGCTGCTGGTGGAGCCCGGCGCTTCCTGCGGCTGGAGCTGGTCGGAGAGCTGGAAGAGGGGCCCGGCGGTCCCGGAGCTGTAGCTGTGCGTGGGTTGGAGGGGCAGCGGGGGTGGCGAGGCGGTGGTGCTGGAAGGAGAGAACACATGGAACTCTGAGTGACGGCTCAGCAGCCCCATCCCGGGCTGTGGCCTGAAGGTGCAGATCTGACTTTATGAAATGGAGAAGAAAACAGGGGAAGTGAGCAGCCCAGAGCCACACAGCAGGCTGGCTGAGCTCCCGAGACTGCACACACCCTCCTGTGCCAGGCTCCAGGGGGCGGGGGAGTAGGTGGGCTGAGCACTGGGAGCCACTGGGCTTGTGTGACCACTCAAGAGAACTGAGTCCCAGGCAGAGGGGATTAAAGTGTTATGGAGAATTAAAGTGTAATTCAAGTGTAGCTGGGGTCATAGTCGGGCCATCCGCCTCCACACCTTGTATACAGATGCCCCGTCCTCCTATTGCCCTCCCACAAAACACACACACCACCCCTCCCCCACTCCCTTATCCCAGCAGTCATTTATTGAGAGTATCTCTGGTCCTCTAAAAACCTTCACAGTCGCCAAAACCAGTTTGGCTCAGTGAATAGAGCGTCGGCCTGCAGACAGAAAGATCCCAGGTTCGATTCCAATCAAGGGCATGTACATTGGTTGCGGGCATCCCTGGTAGGGAGTGTGCAGGAGGCAGCTGGTCAATGTTTCTCTCTCATCGAAGTTTCTAGCTCTCTATCCCTATCCTTTCATCTCTGTAAAAAATCAATAAAAATACATTAAAAATAACAAAAACAAACCTTCACAGTGGCTCGCACCACCCCCTTCCCCAGAGGAGAAAACGGAGGCTCACGGGGGCCATGCGGTGACCAGGTCACTGAGGATGTGGAGGTAGCACCTCCACGGGGCAGGAACCCTGGGGTCAGCGTGACCACAGGGAGTTTCAGTGAAAGGTGCAGTTCTCCATGAACTTATAAAAACAGAATCCTGCTTTGGAGGTAACGGTTAAGGATCTTGGCTCGAGAAAGCTTACATGAAGGTTAGGAAGGGAGAGAGACAGGGAGACAGAGTGAGAGAAAGAAAAGAAGATTGACGGAAGGAATTGGTGCCAGTGGGAAGTGAAGGGTAGGATGGGGGCCAGGCAAGGTGCAGGAGCAGGTCACAGTTCAAGTCCTAGAAAGAGAGATGGAAAATTATGAATAGAGGGACAGGGACAGGGGAAGGGAGAGGGCATAGGGAGGGGAGGCTCAGGGATAAAGGGAGGGGCTGGCCCTAGAAGCTGTGGGCACATTTGCCCTATGGACCCTGGGCTGGGGGAGGCAGATGGACATGCAGGCCGAGGGTCCAACAAGCCCCAAACAGCAGAGGGGCAAGGATGTGAGGGGACAGTGGAGACAGTGGGGATACAGAGGGCCACTCCAGTGCAGGGCTAGGAAGGTGACTCTGCAGTTCCCTATGAAGGCAGCAAGTCCAGCCTGCACGTGGCTGAGGGGTTCCCAGCAGGATGGAGAGGTGCTCACAGAGTAGGGCCAGTGCCGGCTCTGTGTGAAGCCCTTAGCATATAGCGCTTCTCACAAGAACCCCACAGGCAGGTACCACTGTTATCCCAGTTTACTTCTGAAGAAACTAAGGCACAACTTGCTCTAGGATGCAAGGCGGGGGACACACAGTACCTGCGGGTGGACAGGAAGCTTGCCCCTCTCTGGGAGATGTTTGCGTTGTGTGCCATGATGGGGACCTTTTTCTGTGGGTAGCCTCCTCCATAGGAGACACTGCTCCACTTTTTCCTTCCCAGACAGGCTGCTCACCCCCAGGGTCTCTTGGAAGCGCCCCCCCCCCCCCCCCCCCCCGGCCAGAGTTCCCATGTGCTGGGTACAAGGTCCCAAAGTTAGGCCACAGTCACCTGGACGAGATCCCTGAGCATCATGGCCACAGCCCTGCCCCACAGCCATGCGGCTGGATGCCTGGGACACAGCCTGGCTCAGCCTCAGCCTGGGGTTGGTGGGTGGGGCAGCCTGTGGTCACCAAGCACTGCCCTGCCCCTACGTGGGCTGGACTCTCTGCTTTGGGAATGGGGTCTAGACTTTTGCTCAAAGCAAAGTCTTTACTCTTCTTCTACTCTGCTCCGACCACAAGGGCCAGGTCCTTGCAGGAAGTTCTCAGGAGAGAAGGGAGCACACTCTTGCCATGCACAGGAGACAGAGGGACGTGCTCCTGGAACTGGAGGGAGGGGGCAGACCATGTGCTTTGAGTGCCCTTTATAACTCACAACATCTGGCCTGTTGTGCTCTCCATCCCATGCCTCAGGCCATTGGAGAATGGTCATGGTCTGGGGCCGGCTGACCTCACGTCTCAGCACACACCAACCTTCTCCAGGCACATCTAATGTTCTGTGGCCAGTTTCCCACTCGAATGCTACTCTCCTTCGAATGCAGACTCAATGTCCCCTCGCCTAGGAGCCTCTTTGTCCTGCAGCCTCAATGCCCCTGGGAGCATTCAGGCTCCCATAAAATCTTGTACATTTCTCACTGATCACATTATGTCACAGGTACCTACGGGGCACACAAGGTTAGGATGAGTTTCTGTAAAGAGCTTTGAATGATGCCAGGCACATATGTTACATGGTATTGGCTATTTTTGTCATCAGTACTAATATGCTTGCATGTGTCTCCCCTACTAATAACATGCTCCATTCATAGAACACTTCCCACGTGCTGGCAGACAATGTGTCGGATGCTGGGCGTGTGCCTTTGTTATCGTCCTCATTTCCAAGATGCAGAAACTGAGCCGGAAGTAGGTTAGGACACAGATGTGTCCTGGGCAGTCTGCTATCCAGCCTGACCCGGCCTGGGTGCCGATCTCACTGTGCAGAGGAGCAAGTGTGCGATGGGAGGGCCTGGGGTGAAGTGTCCTGCTTCCTGCTGGGACCTCGAAAACCCATGCCCAGCAGGGTCACTGCCTCAGAACCTTCCCTCCCTTTCTTTTCTAAGAAAAGGACCCCCATTTCTGCATACAACACAAAAGGCCAAGGAAGTTCCTCGCCACTGCTGCCCCGTCCTTTCAGTCTGAGCAGCAGCAAGGTGAGAAGGGCTGACCTCAGGAGGGAGCCTAGGGTGCTGGGTGGGGTGCTGGAGCAGCAGTGGGGGCCCAGGCCATAGAAGGAAGACCCAATAAGAGTTATGAAAACTGTCTCACAAAGCACCTGAAGGCATTTGCTTTTACACTTTGAAAAACCAAAGATGCAACCACCTCTCTTCCTGCTCGGAGCCAGAGTGGAGTGGGGTTTATTGCTTGGAAGGAGTCCCAGGGAAATGGGGGGAGGCGGCAGGCGGGGGCAGAAAGCCCCTCCGAATGCCCACCTCCCTTGCTCACAGAGCTTATTCCCGAGTCCAGACCCTCTTCACCCCCCACCCCGACCCATGCTGGGAAAAGTATCTCATGGCGAAGTGGCCTCAAAGCCAAATCAAACACTGTGAGTGTTCCAAGGCTCCGCTGACGGCTGGCACCGAGGGGCCCAGTCTGCTCTGAGCTGAGGGGCCTCTGGGGTGGGGAAGGACTCTCTGCCTGAGGGGAAGGCAACAGACCCGTTCTAGCCTTCCCTATGTTCCTGCTTGCCATGTGATTCTGGGCAAGTCCTGTCCTCCAGGCCTCAGTTTCCCCAGGTGTACAATGAAGGAGCCTTGGGCTTTTCAGTGTTTTCTAGCAGCAGAAGCCAGAAGGTTGAAGTCCAAAGTATAAAGCACAGAAAAGCAGGCTGGTGTTTGAGTAGTGCCAGCTGTCTGTCCCCCATGGCCCCTTCACAGGTCTTCCTGGAGCAGGTGGCCAATCTTGGCATCAGAGGGTCTCCAACAGCCACCCAGGCTGGGTTATGGGAATCTTGGGGCTGTGGCTTTCTTGCCAACGCAAGGGGCGGCTGGGTTGTGTCCTGGGTGGCTTCTGAGAAGGCTCTAAGAAGACAAGGGGAGATGGAGCCTGGGACAGCAGAGCCTGGTGCCAGGGGGCTCTGGTGCTGGGGGGCCCTAATGCCAGGTGGCCCTGATGCTAGGGGATCCTAATGCTGGAGGGCCTGGTGCCAGGTGGCCCTGATGTTGGGGGTGGAGGTCTCAGTGCTATCCCTTCACTATGGTTCCAGCCCGGGCCTGGCCTCTCTGAGCCAAGCACAACAAACACGGGCAGAAATGTAAGTGACTATAGAAAACCTGGGCAGTAAACTCTCTGACCTTCCTTTTGGTCACATATTTTTCTGACATATCTCCTTAGGCAAGGGAAACAAAAGAAAGAACAAACAAATGGGACTACATCAAACTAAAAAGGTTTTGCACAGTAAAGGAAACAATCAACAAAATAAAAGCAACCCACTGAAGGGGAGAATATATTGCCAATGATATATCTGATAAGAGCTTAATAACTAAAATTTATAAAGAACTTATATGACTTGACACCAAAAAAAGTAAACAATCCAATTAAAAAATGGGCAGAGGGCCTGAATAAGCACTTCTCCAAAGAGAACATGCAGATGGCCAATGGACATATGAAAAGATGCTCAACGTCACCAATGCTCAGAGAAATGAAAATGAGCTATCACCTCCCACCCGTCAGAATGGCTTCATCAATAAGTCAACAAACAACAAGTGGTGGTGAGGATGTGGAAGAAATGAAACTCTAGGGCACTGCTGGTGGGAATGAATTTGGTGCAGCCACTGTGGAGAATAGTATGGAGGTTCCTTAAAATATTAAAAATATAATCACCTGATGACCCAGCAATTCCAATTCTGGGTATATATTTGAAGAAATCCAAGACACTAGTTCTAAAATCAGGCACCCCTATGTTCATTGCAGCATTATTTACGATAGCCAAGATGTGGAAGCAACCCAAGTGGGTAAAGAAAAGGTGGTACATATATAAAATGGAATATTACTCAACCATAAAAAAGAACAAAATTTTACCATTCACAACAACATGGATGGACCTAGAGGATATTATGATAAGTGAAGTAAGTCAGACGGAGAAAGACACATATGGTCTGATTTCACTGACAGGTGGAATCTAAAGAACAAAATAAATGAACAAACAAAACAGAAACAGACTCGTAGATACAGAGAACAAACTGAAGGGTGCCAGATGGGACGTGGGCTGGGTGCAAAAGGTGAAGGGATTAACAAGTACTAATTGGAAGATACAAAATAGTCCAGGGGATGTAAAGTGCAGCATAGGGAGTACAGTCAGTAATATTGTAATAACTATGCATAGTGCCAGGTGGGTACTAGAATTATTGAGGGATCACTTCATAAATTATATAAATCGTCTAACCACTATGCAGTACACCTGAAACTACAATAATAGAAAGTAACATTGAATGTCAACTGTAATTGAAAAGTTAAAAAAAAAATTTGGTTTGCCTGCAGCTCAGCATCCCGGCATCTCAGGTCCACGGCAGCCTCTACCCCTTTGGCCGTGTGGTTTTCTGTGGGAAGTAAGTCTCTTCACTCCCCTCAGACTCCAGGGTCACTTCTGACCCTCAGGGCCCCAACCCCCCCAGCCCTCAGGGATTGATTCCCTTCGCAGGCAGCACAGGCAACATAGTGGGGAGTTGTCCCTGCCCAGCCATGGCCTGAGCCTCTTCCTACTCTGGTCCCCACCGGCACTTCACATGGGGCTGGGCATCCGCCTGGGGCCAATGAGCTCCTGCTCAGGGGGTAAGGCTGTGAGTCTTCGATGTGCCAAAGGCCCATGAGCAGCTCCTGCTGTGAGGGGAGCATCTTAGACCAGTCACTGAGAGTCAAAGGCTCACCACTGGCCACCAACCCTGGAGACAACTGGTACCACTTTACAAGCACCATCTCATTGACCATCTAAGCCTCAAAGCAAGTATGAGGTGCAGGGCTTAGCATCCTGTTCTACCTGAATTTGTCTGTGCTTTTACTCACTGAGGAAGCTGCTTCCCATTTCTCAGGGGGCATCTTCTGTCTCTAATAGTCCTGGCCTCCAGCTGACCACCCTGCCCAGGGAGAGGGCTGGGCTGGGCTAGGAGGAAGCAAAACTGGAGGGCTTCAGGCAGGAAGAGCTGGCTGGCAGGAGGGGTGCAGAGTCCGCTCAGAGCCCAGGGTCTGGAGCCCTGGTCCTCAGCTCAAACTTCAGGGGAAGCTGAGGGCCAGAAGGCAATGACCCCTGTCCTGCACCCCCTGCCTCTACATGGTGGCACACCCAATGCTCTGTGTCCATCACCTACTGATGCCCTCTTGCTTCAGGCCATGCCTAGCTCTTGCAGCACCTGCCCCCTCATGACTGTCTTTCCAATCCTGGTGGCCCACCACCCTGCTTCCTTGTTCATCCAAACCTCTACCCCACCACACACACACACACACACACACACACACACACACACACCCAAACACACATACACACACACACACACACACACACACACACTCCCCCTCCACACACCCTGTGGACTCAGAGAACCACAGAGTTGGCATGGCCTTCAAAGACCAGTCAAGGCCCTAATAGCACAAAAAGAGAAACTGCCACCAATCCTAGCTCATTGGGCGATGCTCTGCTCAAGGCCAGCCCGGGAACGGCCCTGCCCTGCTGCCCTGCCCGGCTCTCAGACATGGAGCCCTCTGCCGCCGGCGTGCGGCCATCTGCGGCCACAGGCTCGGCGCTTTCCACGGGTCCCCATAAATCATCCTGCCACGGGCTGCTGCTTCTCTAAACTTCCTCCCGTGTGTTTACATCTTGGGTAATGAGGGGCAGGGGGAGGCCAGCCTGCTCCAGGTGGTATCCTGCCCAGGCGCTTGCAGCCCCTCCCCTGGCTCTCGCCCCTCCTCTCCCTCAACACACCCTCTTCGAGGCCTCTAGGGACACACAGAAGTCCAACCCAGATCTGGCCCCCAGGGGCTCCCAGCCTAGAAACACAATCTAGAAATCGAAGTCTGTGTGACTACTTCAGGATCAGACACCCACAGGGGCTACAGGAACGAGGGGAGGGGCAGCAGGAAAGCTAGGGCAGGAAGGAAGACTTCAGTGAGGACGGGGAGATGCTTGCCAGGTGAGGGTGGCAAGGGCATCTTCATGGTGGGCGAATGACTGTGACCCTTAGCATTAGACAGACTCCACCCCTGACTTTCTGTGTTACCTGATCTCGCTGAGCCTCAGTTTTCTTACTCATCAAACAAGGGCTCCTGAGAGGACTGAGGGACATGGTGAATAGAAGTGCCTGGCACCGAGCAGGAGCTCACAAATGCCCACTGGCACCCCCCACCCCAGCCAGGAGAGAGGCAAGTACAAAGGCGGAGCTGGGGGCTTGACGTGGTCCATAGAGAGGCAGCCCAAAGCCTGGCACAAACAGAGCCCTCTATCCCTTGGAAGGAGGGGCAGCGGGTAAGCAGGAAAGGGGTGGCAGGCACTGCATCTGGGCAGAACTGCAGGAAGTTAACATGGTGGTGGTGGGACTACAAAGAATTTGAAGCTGAGGGGCAGCAATGTGCTAGGACCAGGAAGCCTGTTAGGACCCTGATGCAGGATTCCTGGTGGAAGGTGAGCTGGACAGAGAGGAGGGGATGGAGAGGAGGGAGTGGAGTGGAGGGGTCAGAGGTGATGGAGAGAAGGGGATGGAGAGGAGGGGGTAAAGAGGAGAGGATGAAGAGAAGGGGGTGATGAGAAGAGGGTGGAGAGAGGAGGGGTTAGAGGGGACAGAGAGGAGGGGATGGAGAGGAGGGGGTGATGAGGTGAAGGTGGAGAGGAGGGATTGGAGGGAAAGGGATAGGAGGATGGATGGGAAGAGGGCTTGGGAGGAGGGGATGGAGAGGAGACAGTGGAGAGGAGGGAATGGGAGGAAGGGATGGGAGGAGGAAATGGAGGGGGGGATGGGAAGAGGGATGGCTCTAGGGGGATTCAGGGGGAAGAAAATGAGAAAACACAATGACATTAAAGTCCCAAAGAAAATAGTTTGGTTAGAAGGACTATAACAGGCCCTAGTCTCCCAGGGAGCTCTCCTCAGCCTCCTCTCGGAGAACTGGGGAACCTGAAGAGGACAGAGCAGGACCTGGAGCCACAGGAGCTGCACCTGCACCAGGCTGCCCTGGAGCCCAGGCCTGCTCCCTAAGAAGCAGGGAAACGTTCAACAAACAGGCTGCCTGTCGGTGGAAACTTCCTTCTCCAACCCAACCAGATGGGAGAACGTTACCCAACCGTCGTTTACCTGTTGGGACCGGGAAGAAAAGCTGTTTTCTTCTCCTGAAACCAGGCTCTGTGTTTCAGAGCTACGTGTTGTGAAAAGGAAACTGTTTTTGGAGTCATTTGCCCAAATTTACCTTTCAGACATGGTTAGGGGCTGGGGGTCTCCTGCTGAAGTTGACAGCCCAGCCTCCTGTCACCTTGGGGACTGGACGGGCCCCTGGCTGGGTCTCCTGGTCACTGGGCAGGTTGATCAGGGCTGCGGGGCTCGCTGGATCAGAGCACTTTAGGGGGCATCGGGGCCTCCCCAGGCTGCAGGAAGCAGCTCAGCAACCCCATGCCCTCGCTCCACGTCTGAAGGGGGCGGCCATGCTGGGCCCATGCTGGGCACGTGAGTCGAATGTGTTGCAGCCAATACAGCTGCAGCAGCGCCTCTGCCCAGGCAGGCCGGGCTGGCGAGGGCTCTGCAGTGTACATTTCCCAGGAACCCACATCAGGCGCTTCAAGCCAACACACAGCCCAGGGAACAATGGACTCGACTCTTGTTTGCTGGAAGTCTCTCTAAGATCGTGCACACCCAGCACGTTAAGAGAGCGGACTGGACTATGTCAGCTTCATGCCGATGACTCAGACCTGGAAGATCATGCCTGCGTTGCGCAGGAGGCAGCTCCTGATTTCTGGGTGATCCCGCCAAGCCCCTGCCCTGGGCCTTGGTTCAACATCTGTAAAGGCAGAACGGGGTCTGCATTTTCCAAAGCTGCTCAGAAGAACCTCCCGTGCACATTCACCACGCGGCTCTCCAGGCCCCTGCACATGCTGATTCGGGGGGGAGGGGGGTCTGCAGTGGGGCCTGGGAATGTGTTTAACAAGGGCCCAGGGTGATTCTTTCTGGAAACTCTGAGGAGGTCCAGATGGAGACTCCTCGTCTCCGAGGGCCCACTGTGGGGGCACGATGCCCAGGGTGCGGCTCCCACAGAGAGAAGGTCTCTGCCTCTCACTGATGGTCACTCCCTGGGACATCTGGGTGCCCTGGGGACGCTGTTCACCAAATATGAAGATTCTTGCCCCAAAGTGGAATCTAGGGAGACTGTGCTGTACTGAGCCGGCAGCAGGAGAGGTGGGAGGGCAGGAGGAGTTTGGTGATAGCCAGGCAGATGTGGTGCAGGGTGGGGGAGGGTCACTCAGGCAGAGGACAGGGAGGTATCGGTATAGTAGAGGGATTTCTGCACCTGCCCATTTTTAAAGAGGTTTATCACGAACTCCCTGTCCCCTGCTCAGACAGAGCCCACAGCCTCAGGGTGCCAGATGTCCTCTGCCATCTCTCTCTTGCAGCCTCTTTGCCAGGGTGTCATCCACTGAGAGCTTCAGGCACAGGGAGCTCATGTCCTTGGATGTAGCCAGCCTGTTCCATTTCCTCCTGGCTCCCATGGAGCCCGCTCTGAACACCAGGTTCATCCTAGGCAATCAAGGGCAAAGCAGACTTTTGTTCATGGCACTTGAAGCTTCTATTCCCTCGCCTTTAAAATGAAGAACATTACACTCACTCTCATTCCGAGGATAACAATGAAAAGTGAGATGTGCGTGTGCTCTATCAGCCTGAAGGAGGAACAGGAGGTCCTTTGGGGATGGGAACAAGCCGACGCTAAGGTTTCTGCTGTGCACTCACCTGCCGGGCCCCCCAAGCAGGGCTTGTGGGTGACAGTGTGCCCGGCTCCGAAGGGCCTGAGGCTGCCTGGAGAGATGCCCAGCTTCCCGCACAGCTTGCCCCTCCCCACTCACCTGTCCTCGATGCGGACCCAGAGGTCGTTGAACTGCCGCGGCCGCTGCTGTTTATTCTGCCTCTTGTGCCACTTGTTCTGCCGCCCGAACTCCTCCAGCTGGCTGAGGCTGTCGGGGAGCAGGAGGTGTGGGGATAGGGCTGGGTCGTCCTCCTCAGGCGGGGCGGTGGGGGTCACCGAGGGTGCTGCGGGGGCGGCAGCAGCAGGGGTCACGGGGGCCGGGCTCGCTGAGGTCCTCTCGGGAGGCGGTGCAGGGCTCCTGGCGGCAGGGCTGGAAAGGGCAACAGCTCATGAAGCTCACATGTTGCAGCGTGTCATTCACGTGGGACGGGGGTGCAAATCAATGGGTGAGCTGCTGTGGCAAGAGAAGATGCTAGCGTGCCTCTCCTGGACCCAGGGAGGATAACCCAGGACAACCAGTGTCCAGGGCTGAGAGACGGAGCTTAGACTCATTCTTTCATGTATTGATTCAATATATATTGAGCATCTACCTTGCACTTTTCTAGGAATTGGGCAGAAGCAGTGACCTAAACAAAGTCCTACCCTCTTACCAGTAGAGCCAACAATCTGAAGCAGAAAATGGAGAGTAAGACATAGAGGATGTCAGATGGTGATGACTGCTGGGGAGACCAAGCAGAGACAGGGGAGAGGGTGGGGGTGGGGAAAGTGGTCTGGTCACTGCCGGCTGCTGCCAGTGATGTCTGAGCTCAGACTACTAGGAGGGGAGGGAGTGAGCCGTGTCCCTGGTCCTGGGTCTCATTTATTCAACAAGTTCAGGATGAGGGATTTTGGGTGAGTTATCTAACTGCTGTGCCTCAGTCTCCTGCTCTGTAAAATGGGGATATTACAGCCTATACCTGTAATAGCTCCATTGGGATTATGTAGGTGACTGGCAAATAGTAAGCAGCTGAAACAGTTAGGTAATTAATATTATTAATTTAATAGTAATTATCACAATATTTAATAGTTATTAAATATTAATGTAATAAATAACATTTATCAATAATTAGATTATTAATTATTAACTTAATAATTATTAATTATTGATTATTAATTAACAACGTGGTTCAGTGGTCATGGTTCAATTCCGGTCAGGGTATGTGCCCAGATTGTGGGCTTGGTGCCCAGTGTGGGGCATGTAGGAGGCAGCCAATCAATGATTCTCTCTCATTGATGTTTCTATCTCTTCCTCTCTCTTCCTCTCTGAAATCAATAAGCATATATTTAAAATATTATTAATTAAATATTAACATTGTTGCTTGTGTCATTCAGTCAACTACCCATTCATGCACTTAACACTCTTCCCTGAGCACCTTTTCAGGGAGGCAGGACAGTGTTAAGCAGTGGAGATTGACAGACATGGGTGCACATCCTGGCTCTGCCACTTACAGGCTGTGTGACTAAGGACAGATGACACAACTGTCTCAAGCAGCTGTCAGCTGCAAAACGGGAGTGGAAATGTTACTCACTTCGCGAGGATGGTCACATGCCTGGCACATAAGCCTCTCTGTGATGCTGGCCAGCAAGCAAATGAGCCTGGCTGTAGCGGGCGCTAACACATCCACCTGCGTGTGAGTAATTCACATTCCCTACAGAGGTGAGCCCAGTCACCCCTTAGCCTGGGCGCATCCTCTGCACCTCTGCTTTTATTCTCTCCTGTCTGTGGCCCAAACAGAATCCCAAGGGGCCATCTGTCTCTGGGAGAAAGTTGGCCATGGTCTCAGGAACTGCAAAGGTTAAGTGGCCCCCAGGGCAGCAAGCAGCCTGTACCCTCCCGGCACTCCTGTGTGCACAGTGGGTGAGGGGGACAAGGCCATCAGCTCAGCCTGTCCACCCCCAGTCCCCACAGCAGCTCCAGATTCCCAGGATCCAGGAGATGCCGCAGATGCTGGGGAGATAATTCAAAACAGGCAGACAAAAAGATGGCTCCAGGAAGCACCTGTGGCCATGATGGCTTGTATTGTTGGGCCCTCCACAGCAGCCCTGCTCCTTCACTCCACCCACAGGGTTTCAGTCTGCACTCAGAGACCAGGCTGAGAGCCCTAGGAACTGGGTCTGGGGTGAGGAGTCGGGGGTGGGGCGAGGAGAAGGGGACCCTCCTCTAATGCCTGGGATCTAGATGAATAGGAGCTGAGGCGGCCTCTCCAGCCTGCCCCCCACCCTCATCCCTAACCTGACCTCAGATACAATGAGCTTCAAGGTGAAGGGGGAGCTTGAAGAATACCCTGTCCTCAAGACTCCCTTGTCTCTTACCCCTCAACACATGCCTGCCCAGCCTAGCATCGTCTGACTGTATTGTGCTTAAATGTTCAAGAAGAGCAATCTTGTCAGGCTGGCTCAGAAGATGAGAAGAGGAAGGAGCCCAGGAAGTTTGTAGTCCACCTTGACCCCCAGATCAGACACAGGGGGTGGTTAGGAGGTCAGGGAGGCCCTAGACTGCCATTTACTTGAGCTGTGCACCCTTCTGAGGTGACTTCACCTCTCTGGGCCTCAGGTTCCTCAATTTTAAGATGAGGACACTCGTAGTTCCTACCACACATCATGAGGATCCAGTGAGTTAGAAACGCTTAGATCCTGGTACACAGTGAGCTGCTACAAACACTAACTATGATCGTTCAGGCTACTTTTGGACTCTGGGTCTTGTAACGTCAGTGACGGGGGTCCAAATCACACTATGGTCACCCTCGTGGGCTGGTGAGGAGAGTTCTTTCATAAAGGCTGGGCGGAGCATAGGCTGCATGGGACCCCTGAGTTCGAGGATCCTGTGATTGACGCCGGAGCTGCCCAGCATGCTGACACTTCTGTGGTTCCCTGCCTGTTGCTGGCACTATGGGCCACACAGGGACCCAGTTGACCCCAGCCTTTGGGCAGCTCCTGGGAGGAACCCCCCACGGAAGAGAGGATGCCATTATGTGACTCTGTGAGTGGAATGGTGTGTTCTAGCAAGACAGTTGAGGTGATGGGCATGGCTAAGAGGCAGCACTGGGGAAAAGTATGGTCAGGGAACTGTGAGGACCAGGTGCGGGTGCGGCTGAGATACAGGAAAGATGCTAAGCCATCGTTCACCCTGACCGTGGCCCCATCTCAGACCAGAGCCCCAGCATCCCCAAGTCCTCTAGGCAGCCACCCAGGCATCCTACAGAGCCCTTCCGTCCCACCTGATCACCAGTCTCCAAATCCTGAACCACTCTCCAACTTTAACCCTCCTCCCATTCCACCACCTCTGCCAGGCCAGCCACCCTTCCCTCCTGCCAAGGCCATGCTCCTGTTCAGCCTCCTGTCCAGTCTCCTCACCTCCAGCCTAGCTTCTCCTCTCTTAGGTGCCTGGTCAAGGCCAGTGCTTACAAGGCCCCATCTCACCAGAGGGCCTGAGCAGGGAGGCAGGGGGCAGCCCGCCATGCAGCCCACTGTCAGTCCCGCCCCGTGGACCTCCAGCAGCAGGCCAGCCAGCCCCATGGTGCAGATACCCCGCTGCTTACCTGTGGATGGTCTGCCCTGCGGGTGTGTGCTCCACCTCCAGCCCCGCCTGCCGGAGGACGTCAATGACTGTGTTGTTCCCCAGAAAGTGACCTGGAACACAAGAGACAAGTGGGCTCAGCTGCGTGCCAAAACACCAGTGACTTATGTCAAAGCCGAGGCCCCGAGCAGTTTGGCATGTCGGGAAGATGTCCTGATGCCACCTTCCTGGGTCCAAATCCTGGCTCTGGTGGTACCTTCTTGTGCCTCAGTCCTCCCGTCTGTAAAGTGGGCACGATTGTGATAGCAACCTCCAGAGTGGCTGTGGAGGAACAGTGCTAGCATGCAGTGAAGGCTCAGTGTGTCCCGTTGCAGGCATCGCTGTGCCTCATACCATGAAGCTGACGCAGCCCGGACTGTGTAGGTAGGGGCAGCCTACAGCACTCCATTGGCGGGCGGCACATTCATGAGGCACTTGCTCTGAGGCCATCCTGTGCTAGAAACTGAGAATACAAGTCTAAATCACATAACCCACAGCCCAGCTGAGCAGGTACCACCATCCTTCGGTGGGACGCAGGCCTGAGGTCTGAGAACACAGCGAGGCTCCAGTTAGGAAGGTTAAAGAGGACTCTCGGGAGACCGAGGGACTGTGGACACAGTGGCTGCTGGAAGTTGGCACCCTGTTGAGCCTCTCTTGCTCCCTGGTCTTCAGTCTCTTCAACCTGGTCAGTGTGGGTAGAGTGGTGGAGGGCCCTGGTGCCCCCACCTATGTGCCCACAGGCAGCTCCCTTCTGCTCACCATTCATCCCGGAACCTGGGGGAACTCCCCGCACGGTACGGTAATTGCCTGTGACGGGTGGTGACAGGTGGGAAGCTGGGAGGTCAGCATGTTGACAGCCCCAAGGAGGGCTGAGCACAGAGGGTGGACAGGCTGCAGGGGAAAGGAGAGACTCCAGCACAGAGGAAGACAGGTGGGGGCTGCCCCGTGGCTGAAGTAGAGGGTGAGCCCGTAGTCCCTCACCGGCTGGCTCTACACTCGCCAGCAATCTCCCCATCCAGCAATCTCTTTAGCCAGCCCACCACGGTCCCTGAAAGCCACCTCTAGACCACTGCCTAAGATCACTGGGCCGGGATTCCCTACACTCACCCTGAGACCTTGAACAAACTCATGAGGCTGGCATGCCTTCTTTCTCTCCATGTACGAGGAAGTGGGCTACATGAAACCCATGGCCTCCCCTAGCTCTAAGATTTTGTGAAGAAAGCTTTGACTCCAGAGACCTTTAGGAAAGTGTGCTCTCCCTCCCTCCCTCGTTCCCTTTCTGTTCCCCCTTTTCCCATCTATCCAGCTGGCAAACGTGGAGCAAGAGTGTACCTAGTGCTGGACAGTGTGCACAGGTAGGGCCTACTCCAGGCACCCACAGGCTCAAGAATGAGGCTCTTTTGATCCAGACACCAACACTCTGCTGAAGGAAGCTCACAGGAGGCATCTGATCCAACCTGGGATCAGGGCAGACTTCCTGGAGTGGCAATGCTGGCTGAAGGATGGGATAAGAGTTGGCTAGGTGAGGATGGGAGTGGGCTTGCACCGAAGAAAGGCTGTCCAGGTAGGGGGAATGGCATGTGCACAGACAAGGAGGTAAGTGAGGCTTCTGGGAAGCCAGCTGCAGAAGACACTCGGACAAAGCAGGTGCCACAGGCCCTTCCAGGCACCGGTCCTGACCCAGTGCCGTTGAGGATAGAAGACCCAGGTTCCGGCCAAGGCTGCGGGTCTCCACTCTAATCCTGAGCAAGTGGCTTCTCTGAGCCCAGCCTGTCTTCCTGAGTGTCACATAGGCACATCTTCCTCTGGCCACAGCTCCCTCTGGCCACCTGGGCAGCTCTAAAGCCCTAAGGAGGCAGAGGAGGGAACGCCTTTCTGAATAGCCCAGCGTGCACTTCTAGTGGATGGGCTGGGCTGGCCCCTGCCTGAGGCCACAGGCTCATCCCCACTCTTGCTTGTCCCAGAGCAGGACTGGGCGGGAAGGGGGACGGGCGTGCAGCCTCCAGGGCATCGGATGCAGGAACTCCTTGCTAGCAGCTCTTGGAATCCACCATTGGCGACAAAGCCAATCCCTTCCCTGTCTCCATGGAGACAAATTTAAAGACCAGGCTTCTAGGCCCAACATGGTCCACCCAGAGGATTTCAGCGCTACCAGGGAAAACAGCCACCTCAGGCTGCACAGGGGCAGCAGGGACTCTTCACTGAGGGCCTTGCAGCTGCTCCTAAAGTAGCATCCCTGGGGCTGCCGTAGGGGCACTAGCAAGGACCAGGCCTTACAGGATGCCCACCAGACTTCATTTCCAGTAACTTTTCAGTGTCCAGTCGGTGCCCCACTTATTCCCTCTACCGCCGCCATTTCAGGCCCTAATTGTGCAGCGTAAGACCCCAAATAGAAGACTTTAGGTACTTGGAGAAGTTGGGAGCAATCAGAAAGGATGTTTTCAAATTGCCATCCCCTCCTTCTGTATGCCACCTTCACTCTCACCTTCTTCCTCTTGTCCCTCCCTGCACGAGGCTCTTCCTTTTTTTTTTTTTTTTTTTTTTTTTGTTAATAATATTTCTATTGATTTCAGAGAGGAAGGAAGAGGGAGAGAGAGGAACATCAATGATGAGAGAATTATTGGTCAGCTGCTTTCTGCATGTTCCAAACTGGGAATTGAGCCCGCAGTCCAGGCATGTGCCCTGACCTGGAATCGAACCCCGAACTCCTGGATCGTAAGTCGACACTCAACCACTGAGCCACACTGGCTGGGCATGAGGCTGCTCCTTGCACAGCTCCAGGAGGTGCCCTTCCAAGGCAGGCTGTGCCTCAGGACCACACATGCAAGCCACTCACTCCCACCACCCCAAACCCATCCCATTCTCTAGGACTTGGTTTCACAGGACCACACAACTTCGCTCTTCCCTGGTCCAGGCTCCTCTCATTGCTCCGTTTGTCCTCTCGGTGGGGGTCCTCTTTCTCCTGCTCAATAAATATGGGGACCCTGGGAACTCTGTCCATAGCCCTCACAGTTTGCGGACAAATCATCCACCTTATGGTGTCAGTTTACCATGCAGTGCTGACCTCTGGAACTGCAGCCCCTGCTCTGTTCAATGGCCTGCTGGAATCTCCACTTAACATCTCCCAGAACCAACACAATCAGATGGGCCCTGTATTGACTCCATTCTCTTCCTCCTCATCCCCATCCATTCAGTCATCAGGATCCCCCCGATTTTACTGCCTAACCATGCAGAACTGAAATCACTGCTCACACCACCTGCCCTTGTCCCTGCCAGGCCACCATCCTCGCTGCAGCTGGGATGCTCTTCCCATACCCAGAGCTGCCTCTGTCAGAGCATGTTCCCAACAAGCTGCTGGATGGGAGACTGTGCAAAGACAGGGACATGCCTGATTCATCTCTGACCCAGGGCTGAGCCCAAGTCTGGCTCACAGTGGCGGTTTCATGATTATTGAATGAATGAATGACAAAAACTGCTACTCCATATCCTTTCCATGATCTCATCCAATCCCCAGGAGGCCTGAGCTCATGATCCCCTCCCCTCCGCTTGCAGCCTGTGCCGGCCCTTTGGTGTTGTTCATGCAGATTCCACCAATCCCAAGAGCTTGGCTCCTGAACCTGCCCCTGGCCCAGTGCATGTTGTCCCCAAGGGCTGGCAGACAGGGCCTAGGCTTGCCTCCAAGACCAGAAGTTCTGAGACCGGTGCCACACCCATCCTGGAACCTGTGGGAAGGTGTGGACAGTTTCCAAAGGGGCCCGGTGTTGCGGGGTAGCCTGAATGGCTTGCCCAGGCTCCCGGGTCTCCTGGCCACCGCTCAGCAGCTCCTGCCAGCACTGACAGCTGTGCTCTGGCCAGCTCTCTACAGGAAGGCACGTTCCATTTCATCTGCAGAGGCCACGTGTGTGAGGAAAGGAGGGAAGAGGAGGACAGTGGGGGTGGGGCCCACAGAGCCTCAGACAGGGAGGGGACAGAGATGCTTACAGAGACAGAAGGAGCTCCAGGCGGAGAAAGACAGTGGAGAGGAGGAGAGGGGGGCCCAGGCCCAGGCAATGAGAGACAGACAGCGACACAGACAATGGTGGGAGAGAAGGCAAAGGAGAGACACCCAGACAGGGATTAAAAGATAGAAAGAGCCAAAACCGGTTTGGCTCAGTGGTAGAGCTTCGGTCTGCGGACTGAAAGGTCCGGGGTTTGATTCCAGTCAAGGGCATGTGCCTTGGTTGCGGGCGCATCCCAGGTGGGGGTTGTGCAGGAGGCAGCTGGTCGATGTTTCTCTCTCATCAACGTTTCTAGCTCTCTATGTTTCTCCCTTCCTCTCTGTAAAAAAATCAATAAAATATATTTAAAAAAAAAGATAGAAAGAGGCAAGGATGGGGAAGTGAGATACAAAGAGACAGAGACAGAGAGAAAGGCTGAAAGAGGAGAGAGGAGAGAGGAACCCTAAAATGGAAACAAGGAGCATGGTGGAGGAGAGACTAACCCACTGAGGACATCAGGATGGCTTCCTGGAAGAGGGACTCAGGTAGCCAGGACTCCCAGGATGGGATTCAGAGAGAGATGCAAGGAGCAAAGGCCTGGGGGAAGAGTAAAGATCTTGAGAATGTGGGGCTGCTTTGGTGTCGCCTCACTGATTTTGCAAGCCGGACTGCCACGTAAAGGACATTCATATACAAACGGGCAGATGTCCTGCTCTGAGGGGGCACAGTCCCACCATGTTTTAGGGCAAAGAAAAGGGCTCCTCTTTTCCCGGGCCCAAGCAGGCTTGTGTCAGAGCACCAGGCTCAGTGAGCACAGGCTGGACACCGCCCAACAGCCCCAATTGACCCTCCAGCACAGAAAGAGAGAAGAATCCTATTGTTGGGTTAGGACAGAAGACTTGGCTCAAGAGCCATCTGGTTGTGTGACCTTGGGCAGCTTCATTGTCTGCTATGTGCTTCCATTTCCCCAAATGGTCCAGAGGCCCTCCCACCTCTATGATTTCATCATCGGATGACCCGAACACAAGCTCCTACTTAGTGAGCCCCCTGGGTACACGAGGCTTTCCCCACATTGTTTTATTCCATGACCTCATGGC